TTTCACGTGAAGTACCCACGAGGATTGAAGGTTTCACGGATGGCTCTAAAACTACTGAAGGCACAGCTAGTGCCTTCGTGATTTTTGATGCAGGAGGTGAGATCCATAATCAGACGTTTGAGCTGCACCCTGAATGCTCTATTTTTCAAGCCGAAATCTTTGCGGTATTAATGGCTATCAAATGGTGTAACATCAATCTTGTCAATACGCCCGTAAATATCTACACTGACAGTGCTGCCACTGTGACCAAACTGAGAAACAAGGACACCACAAACCCCATCTCTATCGATATTTTCGCTGAGGTTGCAATATCATCTAACAGTTATGCCGTTAATTGGATCAGGGGTCACCAGGGCACTCCGGGAAATGAAAGAGCAGATTATCTGGCACGTAATGCAACACTGAACCATACCAATCATCATGATTATGTCCGCATTCCCAAATCGAAACTCAAGTCACTTGTTTGGAACGAAGCCATCAATGCATGGCAGGCTGATTGGGATAAGGTCTCATGTCAGCACATTACAAAGAGATTTTTCCCAAGAATTCAAAACCGTATGCAGAACAAATGGATGCAGCCCAGTCATGAACTGATGCAATTCTTAACTGAACACGAACACTTTTGTGTATATCTTAAGAGATTCTATCTCATAGATAATGATCACTGTAATCTCTGTGGTATTCAAGATGGTGTCTTACACTATCTTTTCAACTGCCCCATGCTTGAGGATATTAGGCACCGCTGGAGGCAGCAAGTAAATCTAAACAGTATGGACATAATAAAGTCAATTTTGGCCTCTTCAAAGAACTTATCAAAATTTATCTGATTAGAAGTGATATTCATTAAACTACAAGTGGCATCTTGATATGCATCATTGTTTATCTGTGGTTCAACACATTCTGCGCAGGCTAAAGACTGTCCAATGTATTCAATGAAGTTATTATGTGTTCCTTCACCTGTAATGGTATATGTTAACCTGTGGTGTTTTACCATCTATTATGCGGCATGTTTACTACAATGTACATTTTCGTTTTTACCCTAGAATGAACTGTGGTAACACTTAAATGTATAAGGTAATGCAGCTGTGTCAATGTATATATACACATTTATTTACTTTAGTTCATTTATTGTTAACTGCATTTACTATATTATTATTATTATTATTATTATATTTTATTTATTTATTTTCTCTTTTCTTTACTTCTTTCCCAACATTTGTTTTCAGACTTTTTTGCAATTGTCATCTGCATGTAACATCAATGTAATTGCTTCTGTAATTTCTTGCCTGATTATGCCAGGCAGTATCAGGATAAGTAATAAAGATTATTTGATGATGATGATGATGACGACGATGTGACTGCTAGAGCACACAGAAATGTTGTGATTTTTTNTTACTTTATTATTATTATTTTTTTATATTTTATTATATTTTATTTTATTTTTTTGTTTATCTATTTATTTATTATTTTCTCTTTTCTTTACTTCTTTCCCAACATTTGTTTTCGGATTATTTTGCAATTGTCATCTTCATGTAACATCAATGTAATCGTTTCTGTAACTTCTTGCCTGATTATGCCAAGTGGTATCAGGCTAAGTAATAAAGATTATTTGATGATGATGATGATCATCATCATCATCTTAAAACTAAGGAAAATGGAAAAGTAGAAGAAATAAGGAAGGATAAGGTAATTAATAGAAATACCCAGGTTTCTTTTGTAGCGGCATGCTGTTGGGTAGGACACAACTTTGGATCTTCCTCTTATTCGTGATCCTTTCCTTGTCCTAGGACTTTCATCTATTTTTGACTTCGTTGTCTTTCTTCAATGATCTCTTGGCAACTCACAGTCTTTGATTGTCTTTCTAAAATTTCGGAGCATGGCCTTTTTCTGCCTATCTCTTCGGAATTCTCACCCAGACTAACTCGTTCTCTGTCCGTTAGGCCCCAGGACTCACTCCCTCTTTTGTTCTACTTATTTTCATGGAAACTATAATCCTACCCAAAGGCAAAAAGGGTTAGATAAGAAGGTTCTAGAAGGAATTTACAACAAAGAAACAGGAAAGAAGGCTAAGATTAATCCAAATAAAACATATGACTACACAATATCATGGCCGACGACCACAATAATGTATTTGTGTTACTTTTTTATGTCGTTATTTTATTTAGAGGATTCTTCTTAATAATTCATGTTATTTTTACATTACTCAAAATTTGTTATTTTACATTTAGGTATACATCTAATAAGGAGATAGGCATGCAACCAGTTAAAGATAAAATTTATTTAAAAGTAAGCAATATGAAAGGAGACTTTCAATATACAGAACTAGTATTAATAATACTACCTTTAAATACAGAGCCACCAATAATTACTGTTTTTGGTGAAATTCAGGTTTGTAATAAATTTATCTATTAATAAAATTAAATTCTAGTAATTAGTTATGAAAAAACTAAAATCTTCAGTCTACCAACAATGTTTTCAGCTTTCAGACTAGTAGCTTGAGAATGGCTGATGATATAAACTGAAAGTTATATTTTCAGTTTCTCAAGCTACATAAATCTCAGGGCAATGTAATTTTTATTAAATAATTGCCAGATGACTGAAGGTTTTGTTTTTCCATGATCCAATAAAATTTTTACATTAAATAAGATTTATTAATGCATTAATATGTATGGATATTATTAACCAATTTAATGTTTTGCTGTAATACACACCAATACATCATATAGTGCTACACTGTATGCACTGTTACTAAAAATTCAAAATTATTGTGATAATTAAGAAAGGGTTTCCATTAGTTGACTAAGGTAAACACCCAACAAAAAAGAAATATGTGCTGTAGATGTTAGAAAATTCAATTTATTTATGTGATATATAATTATATACAAGTTCAAATAATGGATGCTAACTCTAGGATGGTTTATCCAGCAGTTACCCTACACCCGATTGTCAGTGAGACAATTACAAAAGTATGACAATACTTTGAATCACAATAATACTAACTTGTACAATAATCAGGAATACTTCTTATAAAAGGAATACTTCTTATAAAAGGAATTCCTTATGACTAACTTTTAACACTAAACTTACACTAAAAAAGAATGATTGAAGATAGGGGATGAGAAATAGTAAAGATGGCAGATAGGACAGAGCAAATGAACCCAGGTCATATGAAGGTCCTTCTGTGTTGTGAGGGACCATATGGAAACTTTTTCATATTATTCATTCTTCCATCTTCTTTTCCTTGGTTCAAGAGAGTATTTATAACCAGTGGTGATATTCAGCGGGTTCGCACAGGTTCGGCCGAACCCGTTGTTAACATTTTCAAAGTTTTCCGAACATTGTTAAACATATGTAACATTTCTCAATGGTTTGATTCTTTTAAAAATATTAAAATATACGTATTATACTCTGTAACACTACTAAACTAGAGCCTTCCGATGCACTATTTGAGCGAAAAAAAAAAATTGTTAAGGAAAAGTTTTCTGTTAGCGAACCCTTTGATAAATATTTCGAATGTCATCACTGTTTATAACCAAATTGTCAGTTGCTCATTCAAAACTCACAAGTGGTCAAGTTGAATGCTAACTCCAACCTTCTTACTTTGGACCAGGAATTTAGAGGTTTCCACTTGAAGTTATGACTTCACTTGTCTACTTGGGCACTGAACAGACACTGTCATGTCTTTTTCTTTTGTTGTCCTCTCTCTTTGAGCACCAGCCCAAAAAGTGGCCTTCTTTACTATGTATACCCTCAGGTAATTTGTACTGGCCCTCATCTCCAAAAAGGAAGAATTAAAGAGATTAGAATGTTTTAGAATTTGGAAGGAATGAAAAACAGGGGAAAATGTAAGGAGAACAAACAGACAAAAATAGAGAATATCAAAAACACATTAACAACACTTGAAATGACCTAATAGCAAATGATTATATGATCCAGAGTCACCAATGATAGCAGATCTGTGTAACAAACCATTCAATAGCTTGGAAATAACCTAATGTAATGGTATGACACAAACAATGAAATACTTAGGGTCAGTCAGTTGCCAGGTTGGACTTCAGAAATGGGAAAATTACACAAACAGATTAGTTGACAAAATGGCTAGAATAAAAAATTCAAAACAATTGACTATGAATTAGTAAAAACAAAAACACAAATTTATTGAAAATATTACAAGTGAATGAAATATGTACAAAGTTGTTAATGAAAAAGCATGAAAAATGTTGATGAAAAACTACACAAACATTATAAAAACTCAGGACTATAATTAATCCAAATCAAAAATAAAACTAAACAAGTATTCACAAAACTTCGTGACAATTGGGGAATGTAAATCTAACAAAATTAATTTTTCACAAAGTAACTCGGAACTAAATTACTAATAAACAAAGACTCTTATGATCAAAATCATTTAACCGTCGCATCAAAAATGCCAGAAAATCCTTCCGTCAATCAAACTCACTCTGGACCTCATCTTACTTGAACTGAAAAGGTTTATCTCGTAATTTTCACTGTTGCTGGGGTAGCGCCTGCTCAAGCATTTATGTCGCCCTTGACAAAAAGACAAATTGCTGCTTCTTAAATTTATTTAGAAAGAAACATGTAATATAAAATTAGCAATCGAGTAGTACAAAACAGTAAAAATTAAAATATACTTGTACCTAGTTACAAATTGTTGACTAATTGCATTTTTAATGATATTACAAAAATGTATTATTGTACAATCAAACAAAAAAGTTATATCCTATAAAAACTAAACAAAATTACATCAACTATACTAAAATTAAAAAAACTTTTTTTTCACTTTTAGTTCTGCAAACTTTTTTATTAACTCTTTTAAGTTTACTTGATCGGAAGTTTCATGTGCAATGGCCAAAATGGCCAAAGTATTAAGATGATTTTGCATGGTAGTGGAATGTAAAAAGTTTCTAATTAATTTTTATTTAGAGAAACTCCTTTTCCCTCTAGCTACAGTTATTGGTATAATTGGCAATATTCTTACGGTGACACTAAGATTTGGGACAAAATTTAACATTGTTGCTTATACTTTTCCTTTTTGCCCAAAAGCCCTCTTTTATGGTTGTTTTTTTTCAGAATTAAAGAATGCAAATATTTTCTTAGCTTTTATGCAAAAATAATTAATATGAAATATAAATTGCATGGTAATTTTAGCCACAGAAAAAAATTGACAAATATAAATTTTTATTATTATAAGTTAAATACTTAAATAATCAAATTTAAATTTGATTATTTAAGTATTTAACTTATAAATATAAAAATTTATATTTGTCAATTTTTTTCTGTGGCTAAAATTACCATGCAATTTATATTTCATATTAATTATTTTTGCATAAAAGCTAAGAAAATATTTGCATTCTTTAATTCTGAAAAAAAACAACCATAAAAGAGGGCTTTTGGGCAAAAAGGAAAAGTATAAGCAACAATGTTAAATTTTGTCCCAAATCTTAGTGTCACCGTAAGAATATTGCCAATTATACCAATAACTGTAGCTAGAGGGAAAAGGAGTTTCTCTAAATAAAAATTAATTAGAAACTTTTTACATTCCACTACCATGCAAAATCATCTTAATACTTTGGCCATTTTGGCCATTGCACATGAAACTTCCGATCAAGTAAACTTAAAAGAGTTAATAAAAAAGTTTGCAGAACTAAAAGTAAAAAAAAAGTTTTTTTAATTTTAGTATAGTTGATGTAATTTTGTTTAGTTTTTATAGGATATAACTTTTTTGTTTGATTGTACAATAATACATTTTTGTAATATCATTAAAAATGCAATTAGTCAACAATTTGTAACTAGGTACAAGTATATTTTAATTTTTACTGTTTTGTACTACTCGATTGCTAATTTTATATTACATGTTTCTTTCTAAATAAATTTAAGAAGCAGCAATTTGTCTTTTTGTCAAGGGCGACATAAATGCTTGAGCAGGCGCTACCCCAGCAACAGTGAAAATTACGAGATAAACCTTTTCAGTTCAAGTAAGATGAGGTCCAGAGTGAGTTTGATTGACGGAAGGATTTTCTGGCATTTTTGATGCGACGGTTAAATGATTTTGATCATAAGAGTCTTTGTTTATTAGTAATTTAGTTCCGAGTTACTTTGTGAAAAATTAATTTTGTTAGATTTACATTCCCCAATTGTCACGAAGTTTTGTGAATACTTGTTTAGTTTTATTTTTGATTTGGATTAATTATAGTCCTGAGTTTTTATAATGTTTGTGTAGTTTTTCATCAACATTTTTCATGCTTTTTCATTAACAACTTTGTACATATTTCATTCACTTGTAATATTTTCAATAAATTTGTGTTTTTGTTTTTACTAATTCATAGTCAATTGTTTTGAATTTTTTATTCTAGCCATTTTGTCAACTAATCTGTTTGTGTAATTTTCCCATTTCTGAAGTCCAACCTGGCAACTGACTGACCCTAAGTATTTCATTGTTTGTGTCATACCATTACATTAGGTTATTTCCAAGCTATTGAATGGTTTGTTACACAGATCTGCTATCATTGGTGACTCTGGATCATATAATCATTTGCTATTAGGTCATTTCAAGTGTTGTTAATGTGTTTTTGATATTCTCTATTTTTGTCTGTTTGTTCTCCTTACATTTTCCCCTGTTTTTCATTCCTTCCAAATTCTAAAACATTCTAATCTCTTTAATTCTTCCTTTTTGGAGATGAGGGCCAGTACAAATTACCTGAGGGTATACATAGTAAAGAAGGCCACTTTTTGGGCTGGTGCTCAAAGAGAGAGGACAACAAAAGAAAAAGACATGACAGTGTCTGTTCAGTGCCCAAGTAGACAAGTGAAGTCATAACTTCAAGTGGAAACCTCTAAATTCCTGGTCCAAAGTAAGAAGGTTGGAGTTAGCATTCAACTTGACCACTTGTGAGTTTTGAATGAGCAACTGACAATTTGGTTATAAACAGTGATGACATTCGAAATATTTATCAAAGGGTTCGCTAACAGAAAACTTTTCCTTAACAATTTTTTTTTTCGCTCAAATAGTGCATCGGAAGGCTCTAGTTTAGTAGTGTTACAGAGTATAATACGTATATTTTAATATNCAAGTTCATTTGTTCTTTATAATTGTAATGCCGCCGCTTTCCATGCTGATGCTATTTTGTCTGATTCTCGAAAATTTATATTTTGCCCTTTTCCCCTGTACTTATAAATGTGCCAGGCCTCTGCATACTTTAGGTGTTGTCTATTTTCAACATTTTGAATAACATCTGCCTTGCTCCATTCGATTGCAATCTCTGCTAGATCCGCGATTGCATAATTAGCCAAAACCATGACTGGTTGTTTAAATCTTATATTCTTTTCGTGCTCCTTCAATCTTTCATTTAACGATCTCTTTGTGGCTTCTATATAATATAGCACCTTTTTCAGCATCTTATCATGCAAAGGTATTCTGTACACACCTGGAACTAGCCTCCTGTCTATGGGTGTTTTGTCATTTCTTAGCATTTGGAATATTGTCGTGTTTCTCTTATATGCTATTTTCTTGTTGCTCTGTATTCCTATTTTTCTGTATATATTACTTAACGTTGCCCTGTATTCCATTATGGTGAACTCCTTTTTCTCTTTCTTATCTTTAGTCTTATTGCCTCCTTTTTCTGCTTCTTGTATTAAGGCTTTTACTTTACTTTGCTTAAGTCCTACATCTCTTGCTAGCTTTGCGATGTATTCAAGTTCTTTACATGTGTCATGAACCTTGCTANAAATTACGTATGTTTAACTTTCTACAGTTCAAAAAGTGTAAAGATGTAGTAATGAGGGCTAAAATTAAGACTGATGATGACGAATGGGACTCCTACATCTCTTGCTAGCTTTGCGATGTATTCAAGTTCTTTACATGTGTCATGAACCTTGCTACAATAAGTGTATGCTCTTTTAATCAGTGCTCTAAACACTGCTAGTTTGTAGCTTGTTGAGTCATGAGAGGACAATGGTATCAAATCCGGAAAGTACGTCGGCTTTCTATATACTTTCGTAGCAATTTGCCCTTCTTCATCTATTTCAATTTCTATATCTAAGAAATATACCCTTTTATGATTTTGCTGCTCTAGTTCTAATTCCAGGCCATAAGTCCCACTGTTATGACTGGGTTGTCCGTCCCTAGAGTGGGCTGTGGCTGGGGTTTTGGGGTTTTTAAACACATTGATGTGACGTCACAATTACCTATTCCACTCAAACTCATTTACTATATATAAACTATCAACTTTTTTTTTCTTTGTAATATTTCAGTTATAATATTGTAGTGATTATGGCTATATCAAAATGTAGCCAGTCTGTTTGTGGGGTAACTTCGATTGAGGACTTTACAAAATAAGGACACATGCTGGTGAAAATAATTAATTTAATGCAAAATAAAAGAATCAAAATAACAAAACAGCTTGCAGACTTAAACAGTATTCTTACAAACTATGTAAATTTCTTGATCTTATCCACTAATTATAAAAAGATTGCTTGGAATCACAGTATTACTAATATGCACTTATTCTTAAAATACAGTAGAACCTCCATTATCCGGATTTTTGATTATCCGGAGTGTTCAAAATAAACAAAAATTTTATGAATTTGCTGATTTGCACTTGGCAAATTACGACACTGTTTATGTGCGTGATGGAATGCATAACTTTTTTTGTTTCAACAACGTCTCATCCAGCACAGTAGTTGTAAACTTTTAAATATATTTTACGTAGCAATAAAAATATAACTTGACATACGTATTTATAAATAATTTATATTCAAATTACATCATTTCTATGACCAAGGGCGGCGTAAGGCATGGACGACGTGGGCCACCGCCTATGCCTCGCGGTCCGAAGGGCCTCGCGCCTCGAAGGTTTATGCATTACTTAAAAGCCGCGAACGCGACGAAAAAATTTTACTCGTCATAAAACGATAAATAGTTTGTCAAATTTTTATTCATAAAAATGCAGTTTCAACTGCTTTTTATTTTATAAAATCCGTCTTCTTGCGCCACCAGAGGGCCTTTTAAACAATAGGTAGTCTGTTAGCGTTGGTCAGTAGTAGTCCAAATTCAATACGAACGTTTGTTTCTTGAAAATTTGATCACGATTTAAATACAGTATTTACTTTTAATATTACCGATATGTCATCGAAAAGAAAACATGTTGTATTATCATTAAAAGACAAAGTATTTGTTTCGATTATCCGGATTTTTCCTTATCCGGACTATCTTCATCCCCAATTAGTCCGGATAATCGAGGTTCTACTGTATATACAAATATTTACAGGGTGGTATACTTGGTTGTTGCATCCTCTTAATACAGTTACTCGACAAAATTGATGTTCTTTGTCAACAAGCACATGGTTGACACTTTGTTAACAAGCACATGGTTGACGTCCTGACCAATCAGCTGGTCCAATTGAGTCACCACATAAAAGGTGACAACCAGGGCACAAAAAGGAAAATAACATGAAATTCCATACATTTTCAAACCCAATACAAAATAAAAGAAAAAATGTATACATGATAAGAAACAAGCAACACGTATAAATACAAACAATAGTCGCAAAGCACTACACAGTTTTTTATTAACATTTTCTACTTTTACTATTTAGTATTTTACAACTTATTCAATTTTTTTTAAAGAACTTTATAATTCTATATATTTTTTTAATAATTGCAAAAGTAATTTTATGGTTTATTTGGTATTCTCATTTTATAATCATAGAATTATTAAGAAACATGTTTATACACTTTTTCTTCTATATTTAAGACTGGAAAATTATTTTCCATTCTTGATTTAATAGAAACAGTGTGTCTTTTGTAAACAAGAACAAAGGGAATTGAATGGGTTATAAGTATATATAAACTGCAAAAATAGTAAGTGTAGTTAATAAACTCCAAATATTTTTAAAATGCAGTCTATTTTAAAAAACTTATCAAACGTTTTCGGTCGAATTAACAGACCTTCTTCAGGATCAAACTAACAGAATTTAAATTTGCCAAACGGAAATTCCAAAACGTACGCTCTACAATCTTCTCAGATTCGATTGCACAAGTTCATTTGTTCTTTATAATTGTAATGCCGCCGCTTTCCATGCTGATGCTATTTTGTCTGATTCTCGAAAATTTATATTTTGCCCTTTTCCCCTGTACTTATAAATGTGCCAGGCCTCTGCATACTTTAGGTGTTGTCTATTTTCAACATTTTGAATAACATCTGCCTTGCTCCATTCGATTGCAATCTCTGCTAGATCCGCGATTGCATAATTAGCCAAAACCATGACTGGTTGTTTAAATCTTATATTCTTTTCGTGCTCCTTCAATCTTTCATTTAACGATCTCTTTGTGGCTTCTATATAATATAGCACCTTTTTCAGCATCTTATCATGCAAAGGTATTCTGTACACACCTGGAACTAGCCTCCTGTCTATGGGTGTTTTGTCATTTCTTAGCATTTGGAATATTGTCGTGTTTCTCTTATATGCTATTTTCTTGTTGCTCTGTATTCCTATTTTTCTGTATATATTACTTAACGTTGCCCTGTATTCCATTATGGTGAACTCCTTTTTCTCTTTCTTATCTTTAGTCTTATTGCCTCCTTTTTCTGCTTCTTGTATTAAGGCTTTTACTTTACTTTGCTTAAGTCCTACATCTCTTGCTAGCTTTGCGATGTATTCAAGTTCTTTACATGTGTCATGAACCTTGCTACAATAAGTGTATGCTCTTTTAATCACTTTTAACCAAAGAGATTTTTTATTGGGCAATATCAATAACGCAGCAAAGTTAAGAAAGCAAATTTTAGAACCGGCACATTTGGCTACATTGTCATCACTTCATTTTTGAAGGTACTACATACTCGCAGCTTAGAGGAGTACCAATGGGTAGCCCGGTCTCAGGCTTATTGTGCGAGATGGTAATAAGATCTCTCGAAAATACTGTATTGCAGAAATATGAAGATAATATGATAATGTATGAAACATATGTCAATGACGTGTTTATTATTTGGAATGATAAATCAGACATACACCAATTTATTAGAGATATAAACAGCAATACTTATGGCCTGGAATTAGAACTAGAGCAGCAAAATCATAAAAGGGTATATTTCTTAGATATAGAAATTGAAATAGATGAAGAAGGGCAAATTGCTACGAAAGTATATAGAAAGCCGACGTACTTTCCGGATTTGATACCATTGTCCTCTCATGACTCAACAAGCTACAAACTAGCAGTGTTTAGAGCACTGATTAAAAGAGCATACACTTATTGTAGCAAGGTTCATGACACATGTAAAGAACTTGAATACATCGCAAAGCTAGCAAGAGATGTAGGACTTAAGCAAAGTAAAGTAAAAGCCTTAATACAAGAAGCAGAAAAAGGAGGCAATAAGACTAAAGATAAGAAAGAGAAAAAGGAGTTCACCATAATGGAATACAGGGCAACGTTAAGTAATATATACAGAAAAATAGGAATACAGAGCAACAAGAAAATAGCATATAAGAGAAACACGACAATATTCCAAATGCTAAGAAATGACAAAACACCCATAGACAGGAGGCTAGTTCCAGGTGTGTACAGAATACCTTTGCATGATAAGATGCTGAAAAAGGTGCTATATTATATAGAAGCCACAAAGAGATCGTTAAATGAAAGATTGAAGGAGCACGAAAAGAATATAAGATTTAAACAACCAGTCATGGTTTTGGCTAATTATGCAATCGCGGATCTAGCAGAGATTGCAATCGAATGGAGCAAGGCAGATGTTATTCAAAATGTTGAAAATAGACAACACCTAAAGTATGCAGAGGCCTGGCACATTTATAAGTACAGGGGAAAAGGGCAAAATATAAATTTTCGAGAATCAGACAAAATAGCATCAGCATGGAAAGCGGCGGCATTACAATTATAAAGAACAAATGAACTTGCGCAATTGAATCTGAGAAGATTGTAGAGCGTACGTTTTGGAATTTCCGTTTGGCAAATTTAAATTCTGTTAGTTTGATCCTGAAGAAGGTCTGTTAATTTGACCGAAAACGTTTGATAAGTTTTTTAAAATAGACTATATTTTAAAGGTATTTGGAGTTTATTAACTTGTTATAGTAATGCAGGTAGAGATATAATAGTAAGAATAGGAATAAAAATTTGAAAATTAGAATCATTATTTTTGGTTTCTTAATAAATCTATGACAAAATATTAGCTTATGATGGAACTGATCCATCTTTTAAAAACATTATAATGTAAGAAATCCTGCAGCAAATTATTTGAGTTTGAGTTTGGTTTGTAAAACATATATTTTATAGGTAGAAGAAAGCAAGATGGTTATTGTAGGACCTGATATATTTACTGTTATTGATGAAGACACATCGGCAGCTGATCTGACAATAATCATCGACATTCAACCCAAATATGGATATCTTGCAAATCAAAAACAGTGTAAGAATTATTCCATGAAATTTCTTAAGTCACAGATATAATCTGTGACATGGAAGAAAAAGGATCAATGTCAAAGATAAATGCCCATGACATTGACCTTATTCTTCCAAGCCACAGTTGATCAATAAATCAATTGTGTTGAATTTTATAATTTGTTTATGTTAATTATTGTACATTTATATCTGGCAACACTCGAAAAGTTGTTAGTCGTCAGAGTTTCGTCTGGTTGTAAAGTCATAAATTAGTTCTGTTAGTTATTAAAGTTAAGTATTAAAAGAATAAAACAAAAGAAAAGGTAGTGCTTTATTTTTTGTCTTAACATGGCAGCAGAGTGTGGTTGAGAAAACAAGAAGTGAAAAGGGTTAAATTAGTTTAAGAAAATAAAGAATGAGCACACGTGGTAATGGCAGCAAAGAACAGAGATATTAATATATCAATATTTGATGGAGCAGACTATAGTAATCGGAAATTACGTATGTTTAACTTTCTACAGTTCAAAAAGTGTAAAGATGTAGTAATGAGGGCTAAAATTAAGACTGATGATGACGAATGGGACGAATGAGATGTCCAGGAGACTAATTATATGTATAGTGGAATAACAAACAAACAGCTAGAATACATAAGCGAACTTGATACGGCTGATGAAATTATCCAAAAGTTTGATGAGATGTATCTGAAAAAGTCAACAGCTCTGCAAATTGTGTGCCGACATAACCTTGAAAGTATCAAATTGAAAAATTATTCAGATGTATGCTTATTCTTCGACGCATTTGAAAAGGCTGTGAACGAATTAAAGCAGGCAGGTGCAATGATATCAGAACAAGAAAAATTAAACTACATGTTAAAATCGCTACCACAGAAGTGTAGTCATATTGGTGATTTAATACATGTTTTACCAGAAAAGGAGAGAACTGTTGACTATTTGAAAAGCAAAATAAAGTTAAAAAGTGCAGAGGAAAATTCTAATGAAGAGTCATCAAATGATAGATCAAATGTATTTCGAGCTGAAGCCAGGCCATCAATTCAGAATAAGTTGAAATGTTTCAGCTGTGGAAAACCTGGTCATTTAAAAAGAAATTGTCGTTTTGAAATTGAAAATCGTAGCCGAAGTTGTGGTTTTTCTGTTTATCGAGGACGTGGATTGTTCAATGCCAGAAACTTTCAGAGAGGACGAGGAAATTTTCAACAAAACATACACGAATATCGAGGAAATAGTTTTCAGACTACCATTGCAAATAATACTTATACAACAAGTAAAAACGAAAAGTCGAAGAAAGATGAAATAGAATGGTTACTTGATAGTGGTTGCACAGATCATATCATTAACACTGATGAGTATTTTGAAACCTCTGAGACATTGAAGAAACCTATAAAAGTAAAACTTGGTGATGGAAGAATATTATAAGCTACAAAAGTTGGTAATATTAAAACTTGTTTCTCAGTTTATGGACAAAAGTCTGAGGTTATGTTGGAAAATGTTTTTTTTTGTAAAAGATATGAAGGCAAACTTGTTGAGTTATTCGAGGATCACAGTTAAACATTCAATTGTTTCAAGAGGAAAATTTTCAAAAATATACAACCCATATGGAAAGGTGATAGCTGTTGCAATCAAAGAGGATAAACTATATAAAATGAAAAGTTATATCAATGAAAGAAAATCACAAGCGAACATGAGTAAAAGCAACATGACTATAAAAGAAAAACTACATAGAACACTGGGACATATCAATTTTAACAACTTGAAAATAATGTGTAAAAATGAATCACTAGATGGACTACCCAGAGAGATTGAACCAGAATATTTAAAGTGTGCTACATGTATTGAAAACAAAATGCATAACTTACCATTTCATAATAACAGGAGAAGAGCAGAAGACATATTAGAAATTGTACATACAGATCTAAATGGACCACATCAAACTACAGGAAATCTTGGAGAAAAATATTTCTTAAATTTCATAGATGATTATAGCAAACTAGTTAAAGTTTATTGTATCCAGACAAAAGATGAAGTATATGAATGCTTAGTACAGTATGTTAATGAAGTTCAAAACTTGACTGGAAAGATGATAAAGGAACTGCGATGTGACAATGGGAAGGAGTATATGAATGCAAGAATTTTTAAGTTTGCAAAGGAAAAGGGAATAATAATAAAACCTTGTCCATCATATGTGCATGAACTAAATGGAACAGCAGAAAGATACAATCGAACATTAATGGATATGGGGAGATGTCTTTTATCAGAAGCAAAAATTGAAAGAAGATTTTGGCCAGAAGTAATTAAAACAGCTGCATATCTTAAAAACAGAACATTAACTAATACCATTGAGAGAAAAACGCCATATGAAATATTTTTCAAAAGGAAGCCATCAGTAAAAAATTTAAAATTATATGGAAGTAAAGTATTCGTAAGAATTCCAGAAGAAAAACGAAAATCTAAATGGGACAAGAAAGCAGAGGTTGGAATTTTGATTGGATATACAGATACTGGATATAGAGTATTGATGAATAGCAGAGTTATAATGGCTAGACATTGTGACATAATAGAAGAGAATGTAAACTTGTGTGGATTTGAAAATGAGAAAGAGGAAAAGAATGAAGATAAAGAAGAAAGACAAAAGGATTCAGATCAAGCAAAGGAAAAGGAAGGAGAAGACTCTACTAGTACAAACCATCAAGAAAAGGATATGACAAAAGACTTGGAAAAAGACAATACACATAAAGAAAATAGTAATGATGAGATAAAAGAGGATGAAGAAAAAACAAAAGGAAAAAGATCAGGAAGACAAATTAAACATCCACTCCGCTTTGATGAAGAATTTGGTTATTACAGTATAAGTGTAAATTACTGTGATGCTACTGTTCCAGAAAATTTTCAGGAGGCGATGACAAGTGATGATTCAAAGAAATGGAAAGCAGCAATGAATTCCGAGATGGACAGTCTTGTGATAAACAATACATGGACACTTGTGAGCAAGCCTCCTAAAGACAAAAGGGTAATTGATGTGAAGTGGATATACAGAAAGAAGAGTGAAAGTGAATATAAAGCCAGGTTAGTGGTAAGAGGTTTTCAACAAACTGATTGTATTGATGACATTTATTCTCCTGTTGCTAAAATGCCGACTTTAAAGTTGCTACTGTCTTATTGCTGTCAAAATTCTTTAAATATTCATCAAATGGATGTAGAAACAGCATTTCTAAATGGTAAAGTTTTGTCTGAAGTTTATGTAAAACAGCCAATTGGTTATGAAGATGGTACTGATAGAGTTTATAAATTGAATAAGTCATTATATGGATTAAGGGAAAGTCCTCGAGCATGGTATGAATGTTTTAATGACTTTCTGACTACTCTTGATTTTTACAGGAGTAAATATGATTATTGCCTGTATGTTAAAAAGGAGAATGATTTGACAATTTACATTTTATTATTTGTTGATGACCTTTTGGTTTGCTGTAAAGATAAACAAGTTATTGTTGACATTAAAAACAAGTTATCTAATAAGTTTAGAATGAAGGATTTAGGTAGAGTAAAAAACTACATTGGTATTGATATTGAATATGACTATGAACAAGATAATATTTTAACCTTAAGTCAGAAATCTTATATTGAGTCTTTAGCTAAACGTTACAATATTGAAAATTCAAAATTGTATAAGACACCTATGGAAATAAATTTAAAACTGGAAAAGTCTAATGAATATGACTATGAACAAGATAATGTTTTAACCTTAAGTCAGAAATCTTATATTGAGTCTTTAGCTAAATGTTATAATATTGAAAATTCAAAATTGTATAAGACATCTATGGAAAAAATTTAAAACTGGAAAAGTCTAATGTAAATGAGGATGTAAAGTATAGATATTTGATAGGTGCACTTCTGTACATTAACTCTGATACTAGACCAGATATATCTTTCAGTGTAAATTATCTGAGCCAATTTCAAAATTGTTATGATGAGAGACACTTTAAATATGCTTTGCGAGTCTTGAAGTACTTGTATTTGAGAAAAGACCTTAAATTAAAATATTATAAGAATAATAATACTGATATCTTAGATTGTTTTGTGGATTCTGACTGGGCAGGAGATACTCTCGACAGGAAATCTACCACAGGATTTATAATTAGATTGTTAGGAAATGTAATGTTAAGATTAATCATATTTATTATTATAAGCTGCGGTAAACTCAAGCACCACCTGTTTTCTTTGTTTAGAAATCCAAGTCGGATGTGCGTAGGTCAATAAAAAAAAGGTTTGTTTTTGTTGATTAATCCCGCCATTTTTTCTTGATTCGTTCATGGTTACATGATAATACAACAGGTTATGGGCCCAGGACTTGTGAATGAATCTCGACAGTCGAATTTGTCTAAGAGAAAGGAAAAGGCATAAATTGAGAACAGCAAGTTGTGTCGAGACACGTGTCAGCCATACCTTCATTCATCGTCTGCAATTGTCATCTTTGACAAGCTTCAATCGTTGGTCAACTTCGTCAGTGTTTGTAAATGATCGTGAATTGCTACCTGTCATCACTGTAAGTGTATTTAGATAAGATACAAAACTAATTAAGTCAGTAAATTATTTAGTCTGTCAATATGGATATCGTAAAATCTCAAATGGAAACTTCGTCAGAAGATTCGCAGGGAAATATTAATTATGTTTCATGGAAGTTTAAATTAAATCTTACATTGAGATTGAAGGATTTGTATGACATTGCGAACGGAATTATTCTTAAACCTGAAAATGCGAATAATGCGGCAGATGTTGCAATGTGGATTAAAAAGGATTTAGACACTCAAGCTTGTATAGGTTTAAATGTGAGCAGTAATATCACAAAGAAAATTGCAAATTGCACTTCTGCGTATAGTATGATACACAAATTAGAAACCTTGTATGGTAAAAGGTCTGATCTCACAATTGAAGGGTTACAGAGAAATTTTTTTAATTATAAGTATGATTCAAGCAAATCTGTAGTGGAGAATTGCTTATCAGTTCAACAATATGC